TTATTATTATTATTATTTAACATTTTTTACCGGTAAATTAAACCGCTCTTATCTATGGGATTTTAGGGTATTTAGAAGGTTTATTTGTTTTATTTTCCTATAAATATTCGATTTCAAAGCCCCGTACTCGCTTTTTACTATAATCAGTATCAATAATTTGAACAAGTGATTCTACAATGATAGTATTCATTGATTGGTATTGTAAGGTATGTTCATAGCTGAGCCCTTTTTGTAAATATGATGGGGAAGAAATTCCTGGAAATTTGGAAGACGATCTATACGAACTTTAAAACGACATCTAACTTTCAAATTCTCACAAAAATGCCATAACTTCTTCGTGAAAAGCTGCCAGTGCGAGCGTTCCCCTTGGATGTAGGACTTCTACCCATGGAGGAAACTGCTTCGCTTTAAACACAGGAAGCCGGCTTCAACGTTCTACGTTTGTTTCTGCGTGTAGGCTAGGGGCTTCTAATTCTACATTACTGCTCTTTCGTGGATACCATTTATTTGGAACCTTTATAAGCCTAAAATTACACATTTTGCCATATTTTTCACTTTTTGATGCCTCGAAATTTTAGTAAAAATTATAGTCATTCAGCACCTCACAAGCTGAGCGAAGTGCTCACGAGAATGAACCATGGTTTCATGGCCTGTTACCAAGAGAAGATTCGAATAGGTAAAGCAACTTCATTGCTGGGCAATCCGTTAGACATTTGAAATTTTAGGCTCCTTGTTAATGATGGAGATTACTTAGTGCGAGTGACTGAACCTGAACCAGGGATGGTAAGGAGATTTGCATAGTAACGATATTACCATAGATTAATTTGGGACTTAGGGCATGAGGACAGTTTTATCTGCACGATGGAAGAATAAAAATCAACACTTTGTGATTAACGAGAAAGATGGTAGGCTTAACAAGAGGCTTGCTTTTGATTAGAAATTTTAATTGAATTGAAGTAGAAATATTTTAGGCAAATATTTTATTGATAAGGAGAAATTCCGAACTATTCTAGAATTAGTTAATTTCTATGCAACAGAGCAAAAAAGTGTAACCGAGCAAACAGAAGCAATCCTTATGACACCTATACCAAAACAAGAATGGGAGTTCAAGCATGAATGGGTAGGTTATGGCAAAACTTTTGATAACCATAGAAAAGCGATGAGCGATCATGGAGAGATTACCATAGAATGAAAAAAAAAACGAATTTTATTCTTGGCCGTGTGAATTTGCTAGAGAGTATCCAGGCGTCTACTCCTTAAGCAAGATACTTGGAGAGTGAAATACAGTTCGCCCGATGTCAAACGTTATGCATTCAGTTTTATCAAAGGTCAATCTCTTCTGTGATTTTGAAAAAAATATATCTCACCTTCTAGACACTTTCTTACAAAAATTCTAACTGGAATGTCTATGTAGTCGTAATACAG